AATAACGTTTTCATGAGATCAATAAGATGCTAAAGAACCCATTTCAAATCGATAACCATATCGAAATATTTACCTTTTTTAAGTTATAAAGCAAAAACTTTCGAGCGCCCTTGGCCCCTAATTTGAGGGGCCAGCCCCTTTTTAATGATATCAAATGATAGATCTTAAAATTATGCACAATATTTGTGAAACATGTCTTAACAAATTATTTTTAGTTTAAAAAATACATAAGGAAATAGATGTAAATTTTTGCGCTTTTAAGCATTCTTCTTTTTGACCCCTATCTAGCACCGTTTTGAGCGCAGAAATCGAAAAAGAAAAACCGATGTGCACAACTTCAATTCTTCTAGTATTTAAATGCAGTAGACATTCTGCTCCAGCTTTTGTCGTTTCTGAGCCTTTGTCTGGAAACAAACAGCACCAAATTTTCAATTAAAGGGAAATAACTCAAAAGCGGAAGGGAATTTTTGAAATGTATGAAAACATTTCAATTGAGTTTTGTAACGTCCAAAAACTCTGAAAATTTGAGCAAAATCCGTTAAGAAATGAGCGAGTTACGAGGTCTCAAAGTTGGCGTCTAGGAAAAAAAAAGAATAATAGGAATAATCTTAACCATCAGAATCAGTAGAAGGTCTTCCGCCTGAGCGGAAGACCTTAATGATTTAACTCGACGTGTGAAATAGGGTCCACATCGGGCTTTTAATAAGGTATACGCACAGCGGGGATCTCCGTTACAGTGTTCATCCGTTTTCGACACTGTAATGTCAGTCTATCTAACTATTCACAGCATTGTTAAAACTTATGCTTATGGCTTATAGAAGTACATATTTTAACAGTGTTCATGTAAATTTTTCTCTTGTTTTACATCGCATTAAATTCTCTCCGAATACTGTTTAAATAACCTATCCCGTTAACAGATCATTTCCTCTTCGTTGATTGTATTAATATTTCATTAAATAAAGTATATATATTCCCAATAAACACGCATGTGTACGTATACAGTGTCAAAAAATTAAATCAATTATTTAGTCTTAAATTTATACACTGGTTAATACTTCATAACAAAAACCACCTGTGGTGTGCTCCACCCCTTTTCCCCTCATTCATTCTGGTGACTCATTGGACTGGGGTCTGTCCTCTGACGTCATTGATGTGTAAATTTGATGTGCAAATTTGATAAAAGAAGCATATATTCCCGCACACTATACTACTGTTACAATGGAATTACAATGTATTAGTATTGATGTTTCATTTGGTTGCACCTCAATTTCATTCATTAAGAAACATGATGAGCAATTATATTTCACTGCAAATTTTTGTAAGTAAATTGTGAACATCTCTAGATCCATAAAGTATTTTTGAATTGGCACCTTCTCTGAAAAACCCAGCGGGGGTATTTGTCCCTATTGGACAGTTCTAGTTATCAAAAGTGTTGTTCCAAATAAAAATCTAAAAGGCATTCTCCCAAAACTGATTGACTGAATGCAAAATAAGTCAAAGAAATACTTTGCAAATAAAACAAAACCCCTCTTATTTGAATTTATATAGAAAAATATTAAATATGATACCTTTCCCAATATCAACCAAATGTCGCTATTTTTCCCAATTAGAAAGGCCCAGGCCCTTGTTTTTAAGACCTAGAAAAAAAAACCTGCAAACCCGAGGAATTCTTCGTCGGAATCATTATCAAGGAATATTTCATTGACTAAATCTCTTGACTCATCATCAGCTTCAATCTTCTAATTCAATGTTTCCTTCAGCTATATCGCCAACATTCGCTTGCGCCGCCATTTTGAAACTCGTACTGAATTACAAGGAATGACGCTAACTTATTTTAGATTTATTTCCAGAAAGAAACCTCCTATTCAACCAATCAGAGTTGAATATTTCAGGGAAAATATCCCTTATACATCATACAGGATTGGACTGAATATATTTCTATTTTCCGATTGGCTAAAAGTCGTTTTGTAAACGTGGTATTTAAAGCTACTATATCGACGACCGGCATTGAATTCAATGTTAAGTGAAGCGATATGCACTATATCGACGACCGGCAGTCAGCGCTTGTATGTTGGGTTTTATCGACGACCTGCAGGACTAGGGTTAAATAATGTACAAGCTTGTTAAACAAGTATACACTCAAACATTAACATTATTACAGAAATATGTGGCAATACATTACTTCTGGAAGAAAGAAAACAGGGGGGTACTTTTAGTGTAGAGCTCATACCACGAAAAGTAATGCGTCAACATATAATTTTTTTAAGCTTATTATTTTTCTTATATATAATTTAGTAAAAATAATGCAAATTTACGAAGTTTGAGTCCATAATTTTTTTTTAATGACCGAGATTGTCCAGGGAAGCATATTTTCTCACATTAAATTTTGATACAATAGCCTAACAAAGTGCATCTATTTATAATAATTCATGCAAAACAATGATATTTTATTGTTTAATAACATGTTTCTACTCTATTTTGGGTATTAAAGTTGAATATTTAGACTTAAATTAATTTATATACAACAAAATCTAAGATAGGTAAAATTTCAGTATTTTACATTTCGGGGTATATACTCTGATAGGCTATAGCGGAAAAGTGAACATGTTGACATATAATTTTTCTTGTGTCTATCCATTGCTGGGATGAATGTCTATCTTATAAAAGCAGATTTTTAAAGATTGAGCTCATTTAGTGCCGAGTATAGAACTACCTTAAGTAGTGAAGTTTTAAACGTGGTTCAAATCATCGCCCCATGGGAAGGGTGGGTCCAAAATGGCGGATAAATATTTTACAAAGAAATATAAAGGAAAATTCTTTACAAATCTTTTATATATGTTGGAAAATTCTTTAAAAATCTTCTTCTTAAGAATAGCAAAGGAATATATAGGAAAAATAAATCAGGGCAGTAAAGCCATGATTGAACATATTCTAATTTAGCTGCAATAATGTAGCCCTCAGCTCCCATTATTTTAAATCTGATGTTTTCTGTAGAGGATTACCATTCCACAGAATCTCCGTATGGTGCAGAAATATTTTTAAATATGGGTGACTGCTGGCAGAATAATTATTTTTACATTCAACTTACTTTTAATAAAATGAAATTTTTATTCACTGTCGACAACATAGCCCGTTAAACGCAAAAACGATGTGAAATAAATCTGCGTGTTTACCTTTTGCTCAACTCAGCAGCGATGACAGTTCATGAGTGAGGTATTGAGACCTGCGCTTGAAATTAAGAATAACTCAATAATGCATGTGTATATAATGTGTATATGTTGATGTTTAATAAAAAATTGTGATGGATAGAATCAAAGAAATAATTCCATCAGTTATTTTTTGAGTTGGCTCGCGTAGCGAGCTAATCCTTGTCGACATAGCCGTTTCAGAGGGTTAACAGTTTCAGAGCTGTAAAATTTTTCACACATTCATCAAGGTGATCCATATGTCATAGATAATAGTTCTAGCAAAACATGCTTTGGTTTGAGTGATTGTATAAACTTAAGAGGTTAAAACTGTGTAAAATTCCATACTGTAACATTATTTATACCTTCATGCATTTAAAGAAATTTTTGTTTAAATACCTGTAAGATGTACAATTACTGCGTATGAATGTGTTCAAAAATGTTAGGCGGATCTAATCTTCCCATCTGAAGTTTATTTATAATTGACCTAGAATACTACCTAACACAAACACCTACTGCTCTCATTAGCTGCAGCTAGTTGTTGTTGAAAATCTATTTTTAGAATCCAGATTTGCTGTGGGAATCTTTGACCTAATTATTTCATAACACTGACCACTTCAGCTAATGTGCTGAAATTCATTATAGTCTCCGTAAACTCCGACCAGCAGAGAGTCTGGTAAAGAAACACGTAAGCGTTTGTAACCGTCAGAGAGCGCTATCTTGTTTTCAATTTGAAGATCCTTTTTGAAAACAAATGTTAAACGTGTTTCTTTTTCTGGATTGTGACTTTATATTGATAAACTAATCTTTAATTTGGGACTCCGAACGAGAAATAACAATATCAATCGAAGGAATGTGTAGTACGCAGGTCGGGCTACAGTACTTTCACTTTTGCCTTCGTACAAAATATTTGCATGACTGATAAAACACACTTACCTATAACTGGTGGGCATTACCGTAAATAATTCCTATCTAGCATCTTTAACTTTTAGACACATAATTTTTACATCTTTAAGTTATTTTTCTGCTGATTTATCATGTATTTATTTAAATCGCGTAGGTGTGTTCTTTTCAGCCAATCAAAAACTTTACCAGAATTTTGGTAAACCTCGTTTTGGCGTTACAAAAGATAATGCGTATCTTTACCAGACCCCCTGGGTGGTCGGAGATTTACGGAGACAGCCGATGGTCTGGTTGAACGAGACTAAAATTCATTATAGAATCCAGTCAAAATGATACGGAAGCCAATTAGTGCAAACCTGTATTTATAAAGGAAAAGCAATATACACTTTATTTATGAACCGAACGTGGATCAGGCATATAATAATTAATCTCTTAAGGTACAAAAGAAACTGAATATATGAAGGTATTGTGCCTAGATGTATGAAAAAGCTCAATTGACTCGAGCGAGTCAACTTGCAGGCCCTTCAGGCCTTTGATTTGTGAAGAGTTGTGAAGAGAATTCTTACAATAAGGTAATTCCGAAGAAATCCACTCCCTTTAAATCATCAATCTCATGGGCTTTCCCAAAATAAAATCTATCGATGTCAGTTAACATGGAGGATAAATTCAAGTTGTGATGTCGTTCACAAAAAATAACTGGTATGGATTGTTCTGACTATTTTTGGGTCGATTTAAGTCTAGGATAACTACATATTGGAAGTACAGGTAAGAAATGATAATAAAATGGTCATGGGTAGAAAAAATAATTACTTTCTTTCTGACTGACCAATAATATTGTAATGGAGGATGAATGGAAGATGTAACATGGTATGAATAAGTATATTTCTACATTTTATATCATTTCCACTAGATTACCTTGAGTTCTGGATGAAGTCTCTTCACCAATACAGCAATGAGAAGGCTCCTGTTATCCTGGTCGCTACACACAGTGAGAACAAAACTCCAAAGGTATTTTACTTATTTACATTAGCTTTATTCAACCAAAGGTCCAAGTATCTGTTTTGGATCAAAGAATGTATATTGTTTGTTTATTTTGAGAAATACAATTATATCATATAAAACTAAGAAATTTCCTATTTCAAGTAAATAGCATATGTACATGTAACTCCGAATTGAACCATAAGCTGTCATATTGTTCATTGCTTAAAGAAGTGAGTTTTTGTAGACACCTCTTTCATCAGCTGTAATATAACAGTTATTCACATTCAATTCAAATCTTTTTGCTCATCTGAGCCAAAGAAATATATGGGGTTCTTTATCATCTTCTTAAGAATAGCAAAGCCATGATTGGTAATGGGACTACTTTTGGATTTAAACTTTTCAATATTAAATTAATTTCTTCTTTTTCCTAGCCACAGTGCTAAGGTGAGCGATGTGGCCTATGGGCCTTTTGTTTTTAGCTCACCTGAGTGGAAGGATCCAATGAGCTTTTTTGATCACATTTGGTCTGTAGTCTGTCAGTCTTTAAACTTTTCACATTTTCATCTTCTTCTCAAGAACGACAGGGCCAATTTTAACCATACTTCTATAGTATTCTTGGGTGATGGGGAGTTTAAATTATTAAAAATGAGAGGCCAAGTCCCCTTCCATGGGCAGATAATCAAGAAAGACAAAAATAGGAAGGGGTCATTAAAAATCTTCTTCTCAAGAACCATTGTGCAAGAAAAGCTGAAACTTATGTGGAAGCATCCTGGGGTAGTGTAGTCTAGATTCAAAATTTGTAAAAATCATGACCCCTGTGGGTAGGGCGTGCCACAATAGGGAATCCAAGTTTTTCATTTTTCATAGAAATATATGGAGAAAAATCTTTAACAATCTTATTTTCAAGAACCATTTGGGTCAGAAAGACTGAAACTTATGTGGAAGCATACTTGGGTAGGGAAGAATCTTAATTGTTAAGTTAATGATCCCTGGGGGTAGGGTGGGGCCAAAAAAGGGAATCCAAGTTTTAAATAGAAATACACAGGAAAAATATTTAAAAATCTTCTTCTCAAGATCCACTGGGTCAGAAAAGTTAAAACTTATGTGGAAGCATCCTGGCCATTCCTGGGGTATAAAAATCATGACCCCCTTGGTAGGATTGGGCCACAATAGGGCATCCAAGTTTACTTAGAAATAAATAGGAGAAATCTTCTTCTCGAGAACCACTGGAAAGCTTAAACCTATGTGGAAGCATCCTGGGGTTATGTTGATTCTAAAATATTAAAATCAAGATGGGGTGGTGGTGGTTAGGGGGGGGGGGGGGGTTAGGGTGTTACAATAGATATAAGAAGTAGGGAAATCTGGGAAAGAACTGCATCACTAAAGTTACTCAGGTGAGCAAGGTGGCCCATGGGCCTTTTTTTCCAGATAAGATGCCTTTGGGCTCGGTGAATATTGATTGATTGTATATTGTTTAATGTTATGCCGGTAAAGGGCTTCAAATTTAGACCTATACTCAGAACTCAGGGCCATTGAGCATTGAGGGTTCCTTATCGTGCCAGCGCCTAACATGACACGGGACCTACGTTTTTAAGGTCATATCCGAAAGACTTGAATATTGTACTCTTCAGATGGCCAAATCATTGTATTGACTTTAAAAAACAACAATAATTGTTTTATTATATGATTCACTGATAAAATGATGCAGGTCATTACTGTTTTGAATTTAACTAAGTCCCAGTCAAATACAAGAGAGTAAGAGATGTAAATAAACCTATATATTTTAAATCCACTTAGATACGTATTGTGTAAGAAACAATATATATATTTCTTACAAAATTTGAAATGTTTTATCAATTTTAGTTGCCATGAAAAAAAATATAATGTCAGTCTTTTTTATAGGATAGATTTTGAAATGTAGGAGTATTATCTGGGAAAACTGACTGCCAAAAAGTAAAATTTGTTGTTTGGCAGTTAAAAATTGTGTCTTTTGACTAGCATTATGGGGGTTGATTTGATAGAAAACTGAAAATGATAAACTAATTGAATTTCTCATTTGCATTATATTAGGATTTCTTTGTATGAGTTCTTACTGGCTCAAAGATAATATAAATATTTTAATTCCCCGCTGTGTTTCCTTGACATTAAAATTCATTCTGAATGAAAGATTCTGATATTCAAGTCAGATTATTTTTACATCGTACTATAAATTATATAATTATGATTTATGTATTTCTCATTAAAATTTCATTAATCATGCTGAACAAAGTCGAAATTGTTAAATTACGATGCATTAAATGATAATTTTTAGCTCTACTGGTCAGAGACCGGAAGAGCTTTTGCGATAGTAAGGTGTCCGTCGTCCGTCCGTCTAGCTGTCTGTCTGTCTGTCAATTTAAACAATTTTTTTCAACAATGCTACTCCTCCGAAAGCTTTGGTGAAATCTTATAAAACGATTTTTGATTTTAATATACTTGGCACACAAGTTGACTACACTAAGATACATAATGGTGTTGCCATTGTTACTAAAAATAGAATTTTCTGTGAAATTCCTTGAAAACTCTACTCCTTCTACTGTTTTGGTCTGAATTTAATATAATTTGGCACACAAGTAGACTACGCAAAGATACATAAAATGGTGCATTGGTTTTTGATTTCCATAAAAAATGTTGCCATGGTTGCTGAAAATAGAATTTTCTGTGAAATTCCTTTAAAATGCTTCTCCTTCTACGGTTTTGGTGTGATTTCAATATAACTTGTCACACAAGTAGACTACACCATGATATATAAAATATTGCATTGGATTTTAATTTTGTTGAACAGTTTTGCCATGGTTACTAAAATAGAATTTTCTGTGAAATTCCTTTAAAACCTTACTCCTTCTACAGTTTTCGTTGGATTTCAATATTATTTGGCACACAAGTAGACTGCACTAAGATACATAAAAGAGAGCATCTGTTTTTGATTTCGATGAACAGTGTTGCCATGGTTACTTAAAATACCATTTTCTGTGAAATTCCTTTAAAACGCTACTCCTCCAACAATTTTGGCCTGATTTCAATATAACTTGGCACACAAGTAAACTGCACTAAGATACATATAATAGTGCATCGGTTTTGATTTTGATGAACAGTGTTGCCATTGTTACTAAAGATAGAATTGTCTGTGAAATTCCTTTAAAACGCTATACCTTCTGCAGTTTTGCTCTGATGGCAATGGATTCTTTTCTCATCCTTTGTTATAAGTACAAACCAGTAGAGCTACAGTCTCGACAGAGACTTTTGGTTACTTTTAATACCGGTTAACTTTAACCAAGTACAAACAAGTTACTGATTTTCAAAATCTGATTTTGCTATACTGTGCAAGAAACCTTTAAAATCGACTCATCAAATAGATCTGAAAGAAACAAAATTATTTTTGAAATATTTCTTTCTGTTCTTTTTAGGTCACATTGGTAAACAAGTGACCTACTGCTATCTGTTTGCGTCCGTCATTATGAGTAGTCCGTTGTCGGTGACATATGAACATTTTCAGCTTCCTCTCTGCAACTGCTCAACAAGAGTTTCAACCAATCTTGACATAAATCGTATACATGTAATGGGGAACAAAATCTGTGAATTTCAAGGTCCCTGCCCCCCTGGGCCTGAGGGATAGGGTCAAAACCATTCAAATCAATGCAATCTTAAGATGTCACAGATTTTCAAAACAGCCCTTGTACAACTGTTTACATGATATATGAATAGCCTTTAATTCAATTATTATTTGTAGGAGAAAATGGTGTTCTTTCGTGAAATATGGAAGACTCTGGAATTAAAGGACAAATCTTTACACAGGCATCTTCAATTAAAGAGGCAGTTTTCAATTGGATTCCATGACAATGAATCCATTGGACAAATAAAGCAGTCAATAGTTGATGTTGTCCAGAACTTGGATCACTGGGGAGAAGTACTTCCACGCTCGTGGGTCATGTTTGAAAAATTCTTCCAAGAAAAGAAATCCCAAAGGATAATAAAAAAAGAGTCATTGCTGGCCTTCAATGATTCATTGCCAGAGGGAATAAAGCTCCAAACAGTTGATGACATTCATGTCATGCTCCAGTTTTTTCACGACCTCAAAGAAATTTTATACTTCAACCAAAACTTACTCGGTAATGTAATTATTGTTGATGTTCAGTGGTTTGCAGATGCGTTTAAAAATGTCATAACAGACAAAAACCACGCAGAAGAGGATTTATTTGAGTTTGCTTCAGACTGGGATAAATTTGATGAAACTGGAGAACTGAACGACACTTTGCTGTCAGCTATTTGGAAACTGAACAATAACGGATACCTTGAACAGAAGGAGGATATCATGTTATACATGGAGAAGCTAGGGTTATTAGCTAAGATGAATAACATGAAATGGTATGTTCCGTGTATGAACAAAAAACAATTTCCGAAAGATCGCTTCACTTCATACCCATCATCATCCATTCTTTGTTACGCATTCAATGTACTTCCGGCAGGAATATACCAGCGCCTTATAGCAAGTTGTTTGCAAATCCCTTGGAAACCTGCTTCATCCAGAGATGGGCCATTCATTTACCAGACGGCAGCAGTATTTCTATTTGAGAAACATAACATTCTGCTTGGAATGACTCCAACAGATATTCAGTTACAGGTGTTTAATACGGAGGGAGAAGTTGACGTGTCAACATGCCTAGCAGTCAAAAAAGAAATTGACAATATGCTGAGTATCCTTTCCAGAACATTCCAAGCAGACTTCAAATTTCAGCTAGCGTTCAAGTGCAAAGCTTCTGGATTTTGTGATGGCCAAGAAAGTAGTGTGATTAATGAGGATGAGTTTTCAGGGCCAGGTTTCCAGTGTCTTTCCTGCCCAGAAGAGAAAATGCATTTTATTAACACAAAAGACATTATCAAATATTGGAAAGAGGCAAGATTAGATCTTTACCAGAGATGATTTATTAAATAATGATTTCTTAAATAAAGGACTTATGTCAAGAAAATATTTGATATATCCAATGTCCAAATTTTTTCAAGGATCAGACAAACTTTATTTAGAGAAATATGTCTTTCTTTAATACCTGTGCATATACCAAGCCATATGATAAACAGACTAAAATATTAATTAAAGACCTCAGTTGATCATTGACCATATAATGACATGTTTAACTTGTACATTTTAAATTCAGTAGCAACAAAAGCAAAAAAAAAAAAAAAAAAAAAAAATCCGCGTATTTAGAATTCATATTTTGTTTGTTTGTTTTTTTTTTTTGTTTTTAAACAGATGAAAATTCTAAATAATGTGCAAAATACTTAAACGATACCATTTCATTCATCTATTTTAAATACACAATGAAAATTGTTACTTAAAATATTCTTCATTTTTAAAACAGGAATGCCACCCTGAGGGTACAGGTCATGAAGATACAGATCTTAATCCAAGTATGCAAATTGATATTCTTAGCTACATCATTTAAAACCAAATCATAATATACTTTCACATGAGCTTACAATATCATGCTGTAAGTTTGGACATTATGGTGTATTAAAGAGTCAAGCAAACATAATTTATGTACTGTGCAGTTGTGCAATAATGTTTATGATAGGATAAAAAATTTTAATGATAAAATGTATGCCATTAAGAATATGTTGCGCTCATAGCATTATATTACATTTCAGCTCTAGAACAGATTCTAAATGCTGTTTCAAGAAAAATCCGAGGTATAGGAATCAGTCTTTTGGAGGGTCTGTTTGAAGTCAATTTGGATCTCTCCCCTACTCTCAGTTTTGAGGAGAAAGTATTTAGAATTTTGTACCAATGGAAATCCAAGAATGCACACATTGATCACTTGCGAGAATTAGAGAGCATTCTACAGAGAGAAGGCCAAGGACAAGCTGCCGAATATATTAGAACATTTGACATCACAGACGTGGATTGCAGTAATGTGGCTAGTCCTGATCAGACCGTTTCATCAGCAGAATTCAAACTTCTATCTGAATATCTCCCAAAAGACTTTACTCATTTTGTTCGGTTTTTAGGGCTTCCTCAAAGATATATCGAACAAATGGAAGCAGATGGTTTGAAGATACAGGATAAAATATATAAATCACTTACAATGATACTGGAGAAATGCCACTGCATGCTTAACCGAAAGAGGATTTGCAATGCATTGACATTTATAGACAGAAATGATGTGATAGTTGAACTTGGATGGATATCACGCAAAAGAAAAAGGGATGATTGATGTGGAAACCAAAAGTGTATTATTGATTCTTAAAGATGTGCTTGTTCAATCTTTTCATTGAAAATGTAAATGGACAAAACATTCATTTAACAAGTCGGTATTATGTTATTTGTTCCTTAAAAATCAATTGTCCATATTTGAGAAATGTTTCAAACTTACTATTATCTGGAGTAGAATTCATTTCTCGTGCAGACAACGTTTGTAATTTTATAATTTTTTTTTTGTATTTTGAATTGTTTCCATGATTAGTGCATAAAATTTGAAAGCATGTGAAATAGTTCAAAAATAATATGATAATAATATGTGTACAGCAAAATTTAGTTACTTAGAACGAACACGGATATAGCGAATTTACGGATATAGCGAAGTCATCTTGGATCCCCAGCTTTATGAATTTAATGAATTCCTTATATAGTTACAACGAATTACGGATATATATAAGTAATTTCATAGGTCCCTGTGACTTTGTTATAACCGAGTGTTACTGTATTCATTTGTTACTGCAAATTTAGTTACTTAGTAATATTTTTAAAAAATCAGATACTTATAATCCTCATAAGCTTTGCTTCAATAGGAATTGTAATTACATGTAACACACTCATTTTTGTACGTTCTAACAAAAATGATCATGTTTCGTCATAAGAAAATTAACGTATATTTACCTGGTTTTTGTTTGTTTGATTACGCCGGAACATTCAATTTTTTGTGGGATTTAGTGCATATAGTGTATATAGGATCTCTAATGATTTTTAGTTGGATATAATATTAGTTAACAAGTTGTGTGTTTTAGCTTACCTGAGCCGAAGGCTCAATTGAGCTTTTCCGATTACATTTTGTCCGTCAACCGTCCGTCCGTAAACTTTTTACATTTCGACTTCTTCTCAAGAATTACTGAACTAATTTCAACAAAACTTTGTACAAAACATTCTTGGGTGAAGGGAAATTGAAATTACTGTAGAAGTACTTTTTCCCACGTGGTATCATTTTTACGCTATGCACGCGGTCACAGATTTTCCGCTGATATTCGACCAATTGTACTTAATATAAATGTAAGGCATTTAATGTTAGACTGAGAAATCTGTGTAATTTTCAACCCGTGTATTAAACAAAAATTGAGATTTCGCCAAATTATGACCCTGTGGAAAAAAATACGTCTACAGTATTAAAATGATGGGCCAGGTCCTCTCACTAGGGGAGATAATTTAGAAGAGACAAAAATAGGATTGGGTCATTAAAAAATCTCAAGAACCAGAGGACCAGAAAAACTGAAACCTATGTGGAGACATCCTGGGGTAGTGTAGATTCTACATTGTTCAAATCATGACCCTTTGAGGCTAGGCGGGGCCACAATGGGGAATCAAAGTTTTACATAGAAATATATAGGGAAAATCTTCTTGTCAAGAACCACTGTGCCAGAAAAGCTGAAACTTATGTCGTTCAAATTATGACCCCTGGGGGTTAGGCGGTTCCGAAATTTCCTTTTTTAGGTCACCTGAGTAAACTCAGGAGACCTATTGCTATCTGTTTTCGTCCGTAGTCGTGCGTCGTCCGTCGTGCGTCGTGTGTTTACATTTGAACATTTTCAGTTTCTACTCTGCAACCACTGAACCAATTTCAACCAAATTTGGCACAAAGCATCTATGGGTGAAGGGGAACAAAAATTGTGAATTTCATGATCCCTGCCCCCCTGGGGCCTGAGAGGTGGGGCCAAAACCACGAAAATTAATGCAATCTTTAAAAATCTTCTTTTTTACTCCTGGACATTAAGCAGACAAACTGTTTGCATGATTGTAATTAGCATTGAGTCCTCTACCATAATTGTGAAATTCATGGCCCTGGGGTCAGGGGTTCTAGTGCTAGGGCGGGGCTAAATAAGTATATAGAGAAAATGCATTATTTCTTTGAAAATCTTCTTCTCTGCTCCCGGGTATTAAATAAACCAACTAAGTACATAGTTATGATGAGCAAGAGTGCCTCTATAAAAATTGTGAATTTTATGGCCCAAGGGTCAGGGGTTCTGGTGTTAGGGTGGGGCTCCTATTGATTATATATAGTGAAAATACATGATTTCTTTGAAAATCTTCTTCTCTGCCCCTGGGTATTATATAAACTAACTAAGTGCATAGTTATGATGAACAAGAGTGCCTCTACCAAAATTGTGAATTTTAATGCCCCAGGGTCAAGGGTTCTGGTTTTAGGGAGGGTGGGTCTATATTGATTATATAGTGAAATACATGAATTCTTTGAAAATCTTTTCTCTGCTCCTATGCATTTAATAAACTAACTAAGTGCATAGTTGTGACTGAGCAAGAATTCCTTATCTAAAATTATGAATTTTAGGGCCCCAGGGTCAGGGGTTCTGGTGTTAGGGCAGGGCTCTATTGATTATATAGTGAAAATACATTAAATCTTTGAAAATTTTCTTCTCTGTCTCTGGGTATGAAGCAGATGAACTACCTATAAAGTTATGATGAGCAAAAGCCCTAATCATGCAGAATTTTGAATTTCAAGGCCCCAGGGTCAGGGGTGGGAGGGACTCTACTTATAAAAATCTGATACTGAAAATGAATTATTTTGAAATCTGCGCCTTTGTATTTATAAACATTTATTTATTTTTTTGATAGGCAATTTTAAGGGTGCCTTTTTAAAATTCGTGCAATGTGAGGACCTAGGGTCAGGGGTTTATGTCACAGTGTTAGGGGCACTACTGATTATTGCTGAATATTACTGATTAGTTGGAGTGCATTTTTGTTCCCCTACCCTGCGTATGGGTATTCAGTAAACAAGCTAAGCAACTGCTAAGTGTATTGTTATGATGATCAATGGTGGCTCTTTCAAAATTGTGAATGCCATATGGCATCTGGATTAAAACATGAATCAAATTCAACAACTGGAAAGCGTTGTTGCATTATGCTCAGGTGACCTATAAGGCCCGTGGGCCTCTTGTTTTAATAAAACCATGTTTATTTGACTCTCCGTCCTCCTGTAATTACAAGTACCAATAAATTCACGTCATCTTATCCATGATAAGTAATTTTTATCTTATAGACTTATTTGAGGATATAAAAGAAAATATTAATTTCAATTGTTAAGATCTTATATCATTGAATAACAGATAAGACCCTATCATCATGAATGTTAAAACGATAATTAACGTCATTGGCAAGGCAAGTTTTTGTTTGTTTGAGTACAACTTCGGATTTTAATTGGTAGCGAAAAATTTTATATAGTGAAGTTATACTAAGTGATTTCAAATTGTTTGTATTTATTTCACCTGGAAATCGGACACATTCTCCACAAGGTAAAGAAGTGTTACATTGTAAAAAATGGATTACAATCTTTTCGAATTCCATTCTTGAGAACCACTTGCTTCATATCTAAAAGCTTTCCATTACCGCTAACTCAGGTTGTAAACATATCAAACCAAGGCACTCTTTACAATGCAGCGGTATTACGATGTAATCAATATTTTTAGTGAGAATTTAAGGAAATATTTCTCAAGACTTTCCTTTCGACAACCATCGACTTTCCTTTCGACAACCACCGGCAAGGAAGGATTTAACTCTGTAAAAATAGTAGCTTTGGGATAATTTTCGGGTATTGCGACAAAGATTTTACATAGGATATCACAAACACACAATCATAAACATAGACAACCTTGTAATAGATGTTAGAAATATTGTATATTGTCAATTCATGGTCCCTCATGTAAAACAGAACTGAAGTTTAAAATAAAATAAACCTATCAAAAATTCTGAAATATCTGTTGTCAGGAATTCTGCGATGGTGCAAAGTCGATAATCGGTAAGATTTTTTACTAAATGGTTTTACATGTAATGACTCCAGGCAAAAAGCTGTTCTGATTGCAGTTATGTCTTATACTCAAATTATAATTCAAATTTTCAATGATTCGATTTTAAATCATGAAAACATGAAATACTTACTTCATGAACTGAATACTTGTTTCATATATATGAAGCTATTATGTATTCTGCATGCCTTGTTAACAATCTTTCTATTATATTTTTGTATGGGCTACAAGTATACGGAAAATTGTTGAATATGTACTAAAAAGATACTGATCATTTGAATCATTGAGTATGAATTTTTTCTTTAGATATCATGTATAATACAGTATTAGGGTCATTTACAGTAAAACTCGTTTAGTGCGAACACTGATAAAGCGAATTCACGGACAAAGCGAAATTTTTCTGGGTCCCTAGCAAAATTTTTAACAAATCTTAATTAAAATTTACAATTATAACGAACTCCCATATAAGGAATTTACCGATATACCGAACTAATTTAGAATCCCGTTGAGGTTAAATATAACAAAATTTATATCTTTTTGATGAACTTTAAAAGATTATAAAAATGGATAAATTGAACTGACTTTATTTCCCTTTAGCATTTGTATATAAAATACACTTCATAATTAAACCTTAGTTATCGAAGATACATGTATGTTTTGTAATATTTGCTTCCCTAACAAATTAAGTAGTAATACTTGAAAGGAAACATACATATTGCGAATTCGCTATAATGCTTGTACGAATGCGTTATATGGTTATAACGAATAACGGATAAAGCAAATTAAATTCACAGGTCCTAAGGACTTCGCTATAACCGAGTTTTACTGTATAAGGTTACTTTGTTTTTTTATCAATAAATAAGATAAATTTTCACTCATCGTATTTTCCAATTTGCTCTTCGTAATGAGAGCTATAGGTTTTTAGTTCTTCTGAGTCAAATGCTCAAAGAGCTAATACTCTGGCCATTTGTGCTGTGTGCGTAAATTTTTTGAATATGGGCCATAACTCAAGAACCCCTTGGCCAATCAGTGTCAAATTTGTCACAGGGTATCCTTGGCCCAAGGGCTACCATTTGTAATAAATAAAGGTTGGGACCTTTAAACAAGGGGAGATAATCAGGAAAACAAAACCAAAATTACTGGTTGCTGAAAAATCTTCTTCTCCAGATCCACAGGGCAGATTTATACCAAACTTACAAACTTGCTAGCTGATGCATCTTAGGACTACACATCATGTTAACTCAAAAGTAGGTCACGTTGACCTATTTTTAGGTCACCTGAGTAAACTCAGGTGATCTATTGCTATCCGTTTTTGTCCGTCGTCGTCCGTCGTCTGTCGTCCGTCGTGCGTTAACATTTAAACATTTTCAGCTTCTTCTCTGAAACCACTGAACCAATTTCAACCAAATTTGGCATATAGCATTTATGGG